TATACCATCGTTTGTTCGAATGTCTATTACATTCCTGATGATGCCAACTGAAAGCTGGCGAAAGCTCGAATAAAGTATTTTCAAGACTGAAAGTCATGTTATTCATAGCAGTTCTATATTCGATTTATAAATAAAGAAATAGAGCTGTTAAATTAGTTCAATTGTTAAAAGTTGCAGCATATTATTTAAAGGAAGATTTATTTATTAAAATAACAGAATAAATTCACCTATAAAAAACATGAAACAAAAAAGTTATAAATCATATTTTATTTGAAAGAAGAACGTTATATTGTCGTTTTTTCTCTTGATATTTACATTATAGTTTAAAGAAGATAATAAAATCTTAAAAATGTTCATTTGGGAGAAGTGTTTTGCACTTGAGATTATCGGATTTTCTAAGTAAATTGCTCAAAGAAAAAGATTATCAGGCTGATATTATCTAAAAAGAAAAGAAAAAGTTTTAGAAATCATCATGAATATTGTTTCTTTCAAAATTTATTTATCTTAGAAGAAATATTAATTATTGGAAACTATCAAGATCAAATTAAATTTAATGAATTAACATTAGATATGTTTCGTCTTCTACACGATGTTGAAGGAGAACCGACAGAATCTGATTCTGATGAAGGAAGTTTACAATCACTAGCTCCATCTACATGCCATCGAGATTTATATGTAAGTATATCCATACTAAACATAAAATTCTACTTTTTTTACTATTTATATCATTCTGTGTGTTTCTCGTATGTTTTCCTTTATTTTAGTTGTGCGACGATCGAGGAGATCGTGATCTATTAAATCGTTATTATCCTCATAAATGTTATATAAACAACATGCAGTCAATTATACGTCTATTTAGATATGTGTCTAATACATGTATTTGGAATATGAAACATAGAAAAAAATCTGTTTCAGCATCCGCATTCAAAGACCTTCCATCAAATGGTGCTGTTATTATACATATCAGCAGATGGTTATGATACATATTCAAAAGTGAAAGTTGAACAATCATATGATTTTGGTGGTTGTAAGACAAATGGTAGACAAGAAGATAGCCTCGAAAATAATAGTCATATTATCCCATCAACATTATCTACAACAATGTCAGTACAATCTACAAGTGATAAAAGGTCTGTTCAAGCAATGAAAGAAGTTCATGGGTAAATAACAATCTCAAAATTTTTACTTAGAAACAGTTTCTATGTAGATTCTTATTTAGTATTTATCCGGACGATATTCGTTAAAAATTACTTATTTGAATGGTATTAGTATACTTTTTGAATGAAAGTCCAGCAAGTAAATAACAACAGTCAAAGCAGAAGAGAAAATTTCACAAAATTTATTACTCTGATTGAAAACATGTTTATTCTTTTCTTATGAAAGAATCCTCTGTGAGCACTTCGAATCTTCAAAGGTGCTCTTTTACTAAACATTTTCGAAAGTAAAATAATATGCGTAACTCTGTTTCACGATTCTTCTATAACACATGTTATGCATTTCTGTTCTTACACAACTTGCCATATACAATGGAAGCTACGTATTGTAAATCAAAAATTGGTTTGAAACAGGATACTACAGTCTTCGCAGGGCTCACGTTTAGATGAATCCGCTTCAAAGTAGAATAAACTGTGTCAGCATAAGTGAGGAAGTACGTAGGGTTTGAATATCATGTTTATCGCTGAGCATTAGATGAGATGTGTATTTACATTTATTTTAATTTGTAACAAACATGAACGGACAAATCCAATGTTTTTGTAAGATAGACACCTAAATGTTTATCCATTGACGAAACGGAGAAGAGAATTGTGAATAAGGGGAGAAGGTATGACTTATATTTTACCGAATAAAATTATAACACATTTTTGATAATTTAACAGCAATTATCCATAATTAGATCATTTATTTATGTTTTTACGTCGGAATTAATAATGTGGGCTGTACTTAAAGTATTTTACTAAAGTAATGGAAAGATGTGACTTGGTACTGACATATAAAGTTTGATCTTGACTTGCGACTCGAGCATGGAAAAGATAGATTTAAGCCTGAACCTAGACTTATGACCTGAAGTTGTGACTCGGACGTTAGATCCATTGTGTGACAAAATTCTGAGAGTAGTGTGAATTTGCAATATTCTGTATTAGAGTTCAAGAAGAATTCTTTGAATATGTGAGAAGCACGAGATAGATAGATATATTGAACAAAAATGTCTTTAGATAATAGGGTTATTACGAGTTTTCATACTGTTCTCACACTTTCCAACAGGAAGAGAGTATATATATGTCCCGGGCATCTACATACGCAACTGAGATTTTAACTCATTGGTCGAGGTCTAGATCCAGGATTTCAAGCCCAGGTTCATAGATTCATCTTCAATTTTGCTACCTCAGGTCCGAACATAAGATCTAGACCTGATCTGGGCCTTCCTATCTTTATTTTCTGCTAATCAATCAATATAGGATAAGTTATCCAGTTATAAAAAAAATTTAACTTTCAAGCGATGAGATGCAGATGTTGCATTATGTATATATAAGATATTATAAGTATATATAAGATTACTATGAACTTTAGCTCATAAACTATATTAGTAACAATAATTGAAGATAATATGGTGTTGAACCTGAATATCATTGAAATATTAAACAATCACCACACATAATATTGCATTCACACATTGTTCGATACTAAGCAAAATTAAGTGCAAAACCTTGCAAATATCACATTTTGAACCTTGCAAATATCACCAAGTATTATTACTACAATATCTTAGAACTACTTATGTTTGCTAGTGTCATCACTATTCGAATGAACAATCAGCAAAATGTTTGTCAATAACTGACCGAATCAAAACATAGTGCTCAAAAGTGTCGAAATATTTTATTCTAGTTCTGATAATTTCTTCTATATAGCAGGTAGGTAAAGGCGTCGCCCTTATTGTTTTATCTGAATATATTAGATGATAGACCTACTGTATATCGATATCGTCGCAATTTATTTGTATGCAGTATACAGAGTTATGTTCCTAAATATATTGGTCTGCCATTGCCTGATACATTTGTGTGACTACACTTCAAAAATTCATTACTTCTATGCAGATGAATTTTAAAGAAGCTTACCGTAACATAGAAACATTATAGACTAAAATGATGGAACCAAACTAGATCTAGAAATACATGATAAACATTTCGTGCCCTACCATTTTTGTACTACTACGCTTTATTTCTTGTTTTGTTTTTCATTCCACAAATGTTCAATAATTGCATGGTTTTTTGGCTAGGAAGTCTCTTCAACAAATAGTCACTTTTCCGTGGCTACTGCAGAGCCGTAGACACCCAAACGATTTATATCTGACGCTTATTTTTCTCACATTTCAGATATAACAATTCAGAGACTCATCGAGCATGGAAGAATACCAACAACTGCAATATAACCAGACAAATCGTGCAGTGCCTGTTCACAGTGTTCATGACACGAAATATATTTTGCTCGCCGATATCCATTATACAATATCACCTCACATTACTGCACTGTTCAGATAAAGCGGTCACCCAATAAAACGTGAGAGAGATATGGAGGGAAGAGAGTTAGATCCAATAAGATTCAAAGCATATCCAAATGAAATATTAGATTGTTATGCATCTGATAATGGTGTCACCACAGAGACTAAAATCGCTGACAAGCTTGATCGTATTATCGACAATACGGGTCAAATACTAACTAGGCTAGATGTTGTACTTCGTCAAATGTATGAATTAAGTGAATACACTGTGCCAAGGTTGTTTATCATCATGCCAGAGGATATGTAATAGATCAGCCAAAAGAGTTCTTCATTAAGTATGGTCCTTGCATACAATATATGATTACTGTATTCAAAGCATTTGGCGTTGCAGCTAGTTTTATTGTTCCACAGTTAGCAGATGTCCAACAAATACCAATACCAGATATACTCAAAGATGGAAACTTTTGGAAAGATTTTGCCACTAAAATGGACGGGATAAATGAAGCCGTCAGTCAGATTATGATTAAGACAACTGATTTGACAATGCATCAAGAATGTTATCAAGCCTATGAAGGTGCTGATTTACGTCAACCAGAAAAACACTTGAAAAGAACAGATGATTGTCGAACGTTGGGAAACTTATATCGAACAACAACAGATGAGGGACATGTGAGATGGGTATGCATCAGACACTATAAAGACACCTATAGAAAAACACGAATGGAAGAATTCATAAGACAGTTTGAAACTATTGGAGGAGAATTCAATCGCGAACAAGACAAAGCCACAGTAAAAGAAGGAATAAATGTGAAAACGTTTTGTGAGTTACTTGGAAAAGGTTTTAACATGTATCAGATATCTCTGAATAACTATACAATACGTGAGAAAGACTTAATCAATTTGTTGGAAACAATAAAACGCTCATTTATTAAAGTTTTGGAACTAAACAACATAGTAGTTTGAACATTCGTGGGAACAATATATCAGCCGATGGAGCTAGAACTTTCGCTGAAGCACTCATCACAAATAAAACATTAACATCACTTGACATTCGTGGGAACAATATATCAGCCGACGGAGCCAGAGCTTTGGTTGAAGCACTCATCACAAATAAAACATTAACATCACTTGACATTCGTGGGATCAGTATATCAGATGATGTACTATGTGTTGTACGCGGATGTATAGACAAAAATGAGCTTTTTATTAAAAGTAAACCAGAAAAACAGATCTCGTGAGATTGCATAATTTTTGTAGCTAATCTATGGATTTCGGATGCTGTCTTCGTTTATTAGTTTTATTGTTTTTACCGATGTATTCAGTCTTATTGTTATGCAACTGGACTTTGCTTACTAAAACCAACGTGTTTTTAGTAGGTTCGCTTATTGGTTTAGTACTGTCATTTCTCGATGTCTTTCGTCTGAAAATAAATATTATATTACTTGATTCAATAAAGGTAATAATTCTATAGAAGAAGCAGTCTAACACTTGTTATATGGTTATTTTCCAAAACTGTTGTTGGTAGATCATAGTTCTCAGAATATCTGTGTAATGTATAAGATGAAAAGCGCATGTAGAACCTCTAACATAAAACAAAAGTCCGAGAGGAAATAATGGCAGAACATAGATCATGTAAGATGAGTTTAGGTAAAGGACTCCGTCGGAGTTCATGACCATACTCGAATCGAGCAGGGACTGTTATGGACTCGCATTTTCCGTCCATGGACGACCCTCTCAAAAGTCTTTCGGTCAATGGATCGAAGTTTATGGACTCGGTCCAGGGACGTCTGAGTCCATAAAAGTTGCCCAGCTTAATTTCGTGTTTTTAGTCCTTTTATTTTCTAGTCCACTCTTGATCACTCAAAGGAAAGACAGGTGAAGATGGATGGACGATCCTCTCAAAAAATTTTTGGTACATGGGCGTCCGAGTCCATAACAGTCCCTGAAATCGAGCAACCAAATACGTGGTTTTGTAGAGAAAGTTGAGGCGCGTCGACTGGTAGATAGGAAGTTGCGCTTTCTGGGAATTCGAGTCTGTTTACTGTTACATGGCTATGATCAAAAGTTGTGTATAAGTTTCTCACTAATAAACGCAGAAATGGTCAGTTTAAAAAATCGGAAAATCAAAATTCAATCGGAAGAGAGCTCAAAATCAGAAAAAGTTGGCAACCCTATTCTTAAACAGAGAATTTATTTCTAAAGTGTACTTTACTCAACCGCTGCTTCTTTAGTGAATCATCCAAGTGTTTGACGGCTCGGTAAAGAAATGAGACAATCGATAATGTGAAAAAAGTAAAAGACATCAACCATATTTGAGGTTTTGTAATATCATCCTTTCATCCAATTAATTTCTTTCCTTTTTCTTACCGCACATGAACAGGTTGCCCTAAAAAAATCACATTACAAACAGCGATAATTGAAACACTAGCGCCTCTCTCGTACACTGTTTAATAACCAATGGAGAATTATGTAGTAGTATCTTATTGTATAAATTGAGGAGGTATTCTCTAAGTTTCAACTCAGATTTCATGCGATCCATTTATCTCCATTGGGATCGGATAGATTAACACATGTCAACTGTTCAACCAATGAAATGTTTCCTTTTCATAACTATCATTCTATAAAGCAAACAAACAAGCACGTTGGTAGACTGAAGACTGAAACGTGCTTAACCTATAATTAAAACTTACGTTTTTCTTTTATTTCTTTTGTATGTGTAAAAGAAAAACATTAAACAATAATAACATCATTATTAACAAATTTATTATCTAATTGTTTTTCTTTTCAATTGCTGGTTAAATAACTCTTGTCAGTCAGTCTTCATTGTCAATCATTTATTTTTTTCATACAAAAAACAGGGACGAACCCGTTCTCCAAGTTTTTCTTTTCTTAATTTTTTAATTCGGAAATGACGTCATGATTATTGTCAATGAAAATATTTTAAATTATTCATCCCCTATCTCACAAATCATTCGAAAATATAATTATCGACGTCATATTAAATTCTTTTCGTTTTAAACATCATGCAGACATGCTTTTCACATTGTTCAACGACTTCACGTTTAACTCTTTTCACAATAAGACGATGTTTGTCGATACAATCAAATGTTGATGTAAGACGAAAGAAATTATGAAATACGCGTGCTTTTTTTCTACGTGTGTCTGTATTACTTTATAGCCACAATTTGGTTTTTTGTTTGATATTGATGGTGTGTTAACAAGAGGCCGAAAATTGCTACCCTATACACGTGAAGCCTTTCGAAAATTGGTAGATTTTAGTGGAAATTTTCGAATACCAACGGTGTTTGTTACGAATGCGGGAAATGAATTACGATCATCAAAAGCAACAAAATTATCTCATATATTGGGAATACAGGTATGGCTAGTCGAGTTTTTTCTGAGATCGTCAAACTTCCAAAAATTCTAAACGTTTGACTCTTTTCTTGTTGTTGTACGTCCCTTTGTTTGCTTAAAAAGATAAGCAGAAGTCACTTCAACCTTACAACTTGTTTATCTTGTTGTTTTCAGAGCTGTCGCGCGAGTCAGACTTTGGGGGGGTGAAGGGGGTTCTTTTTCAGAGAATGCAAGAAGATTTTTTTTCTGTTGGAAATAATCGCGGATTTTTTCGGAGGAGGGTCGCGCACACCCCCATAACGTCAGCTCTAGTTGTTTTCTGTACTCTTGATAATTACTGAATGGCCCTTTTTCGTTCTAGATATTACCTGAGCAGGTCATCATGTCACATAGTCCATTAAAGTTGTATACAGAATTTCACAAGAAACATTGTCTTATTACTGGACAGGGTCCCATTGCTGAAATAGCAAAAAATCTTGGATTTACAAAAGTAACAACAACCGATCAGTTATGTGATGCATTTCCAAATTTGGATATGGTTGATCATAAGAAACGAAGAGGATTTGTAAGTTTTATAGTGACAAACGGGAGTAATAATTATCTATGATATTCGACAATTTTTAGTTCTGTTTTATTTCTTCTACTAGCATTCACCGTTTCGAGATTACTTTTTACCAATAGAAGCCATTGTATTATTTGGCGAACCAGTAAGTGTATATGCTATTTTTCATCTTTAATGTTAGAGGTAATATCTTGTGACAAAAACGTAATATCAGACAGTTTTGCTGGCGGCAAAGGTGTGTTTTACCAAAACTGATACCGTCTACATTACACCTAACCCTATGTATCGATAAATTAGTAATTCAATAGCTTTTCACCCATAAGAAAGAAAGTTTGCTAATGGATATTTTGACACCAATTTTATTTTTATTTCAGGTTCGATGGGAAACAAATTTACAATTAGTTGTTGATGTACTAATGACTAATGGGAATCCCAGTTCACCAATTACTCGGGTGCCTAGTCCACATCTGCCTGTTTTAGCATCAAATGCCGATTTACTATGGATGGCTGAAGCACCTTTACCAAGGTATAGTGTGAATTTTTGTCTCGAGGTAATTATACATATTTCTGTTTGTTATTTAGATTCGGTCATGGATCTTACATGTTTTGTTTAGAAAATGTGTACAAGGTTAGTTGTTGACATTAGCAGTTCACAACAAATAATGATTTTTGTGTATTTTTTAGAAAATTTCTGGTCATCCATTACAGTACACGGCTATTGTTGGTAAACCCAGTGAAATCACTTATTATCATGCTGAATACTGCGTTTCAAGACATGCACAAGAGTTAGGAATTAGAAAACCAATCAAACGTTTATATGCTGTTGGAGGTAAAATTGAATATTTTCATCGTTTCATTCTTTCAATTTATTTTTTTTTCTGTTTTAGATAATCCCGATACTGATATCTATGG